AAGAACAGCTTTTTGACTTCTTTTCTGACAACTAAGAAACAGGATATTAGCTGATATTCCTGGACAAGGAATTAGAGATGCTGGCCTTTCACACTGAAGTCCTGTGTTCCCACACAGCAGCCCTCAGGTTGTAGTCAGTCTCTGGAGGCTTAGGGCCTAAGCAGACTGTCAGAAATAGTGCACATTAAATTGAGGCACTGCCCTGGCTCAGTGCTAGGGAATCATGGGAACTGTAATTTATTGTGGCACCAGAGCTCTCTGACAGAGAAGGCTCAATGTCCCAGAAAAAAATACAGTTCCCATGATTCCCTAGCACTGAGCCAGAGCAGTGCCTTAATTTAATGTGCACTATTTCTGGCAGTCTGCTTAGGCCGACAATCTCAAACCATTAGGGTTTTAATCATCACAGCTACTATTTTGATTTGGTCCTGGAAACAAATTAAAATTAATGAAGTTGGCACAGTATTTGTACTTAATGTTTTATGTTACAAACTCCCATCAAAACTGACTATTGCATTTTGTTCAAGCTTTAAAAGACAGCCTTATTTATAGTGACAAATGCATATTTCTCTTTGGTTGCATGGTGGAAGAGTGCACCTTTTTGCCAAACATCTTGAGGAACAGAGCAGGAAGAGGTGCAACCCACAGAAATCATGCATCTCTCAGAGCCTTTTTACACCCCTTTGGGTTCCTCAGAGTCCTTGGGCTCCATCCTGTTATTAAAATCTGTATTCTGGATGATGACTGGGGACCTCAAATGACAAAAAGTAACAAACCATCACTCTTGGAGCAGTACAGTAGTTTATTTTTATTCACATATTCTGCACCCCCAACAGAATAAGCAGTCTTACTGGGAAATAGAAGTCGCTTTGGGATAATTTTTTTGGCTTGTGAGGCCTGCTGCAGGGGTGAAAATTGGCCGTCTCTGGAGTATAGAAAGGCAAGCAATATGATGTACATATAAAACTTTATTTTTTTTATTTTTTTATTTTATTTTTTGTATATGGTCACCTCTTTAGAACGTTTCACTCATGCTTACTGGGAGTCCAGCAAGCAGAGCCAGTTCTTTAATCTTCTATTGGAAGTCTCCATGCACAAACATAAAGGTATCTAAGGGGGGTTGCAGACTGCCAGAAATAGTGCAAATTGAGTCCACTTTTAGGGTTAGGGTTAGTGCTAGGGAATCATGGGAATTTTTATTTATTTATTTATTTATTTGTTTGTTTGGAGACATTGAGCCTTCTCTGTCAAAGAGCTCTGGTGCCACAATAAAATATAGTTCCCATGATTCCTTAACCCTAATCCTAAAAGTGGACTCAATTTGCACTATTTCTGTCAGTCTGCAACCCCCCTAAGTCAAGCGTATACAGTACATAAACCACCTGGTATCTGCACAGTAATTTGTACATTGCAAACCTTTCCCTTTGCCCCCACTGACTTGTTGCTTAAAAAAAACAAAAAACCTACAAACCTGGAGCTGTGAGTTATCTTATTTATGTATTCACTTTCCTTTGGGTAGGTTTTTTCATTCTCATTGCCTATAATCAGACAGAACAGTAAAAAAAATGAACTTAAGTGACATTTTCTGGGCTCATAACTGCTTCAGAGAAGGAGACCTTAAGCTTTTTTAGGCTCATTCCACATACCATAATTTGTTTTTGTTTTTTTTTATTTCTGAACACAGCCATCCTGGTGTTTTTTGCCTCCGGGGTGTTGGGATTTTTTCAACATCAATTTGCTGTTAATTTCGATCAGTCACCATATCAGATCGGGTTTTTGCTTCCTCTGGCTCTGTCTGTATGGGCCAAATAAACCAGCTTCCTCCTCCCATCCCGTCCTCTTGTCAGGGAGTCCAGACTATGCATGGCCCAGACCTCAAGTTTGGTGTGAATAGACCGGACTACATCCAGCTGGTTCAGTGCCAGACCCAGGGTATATCCCTCTTAACACACATTTTAAAAACTCCCTATTTGCTCCAGATCTTCTCAGAAGATATAGAGCCCTCTGTTCTAATACAGGTGAGCTGTTTGAATTGCATCTTGCTATGCCACCTGATGTGTTCACCACTGCCACAGGTCACTCGCTCTGAGGTCAGAACAAGGCGCCCAGCCATGTGATCATTGCTGTAGTTCACTTGCATTTTCTTCTGTGAAGACTCAGAATATTTTAAATTTCAGAGGTCCCAGAGCTGCTTCTTAGTATGTCATTATTTAGAGGAGCTTCATTCCTCTGAAAAGAGGTGGGCAAGTTTGTAGGGTGGAGTTTTCAACCCCAGGACTCCTGGCAGGCCTCACTAGCCACTATAAATAAATTATCTGTGAGCCACCTTGGGTCCCTACTGGGAGAAAGGCAGCATTCAAATGATATAAATAAATAGCCCCATCATTGTGTGTCTGGAGAGACCTAAAAGTTATACTTCTAGTTTCATGGGGGGGGGGGGAACTAGAAGAAATGTGGTGTAGTAGTATGAGTCTTGGACCATGACTGGATGTCAGGGTTTGATTCCTTCTCAAACACAACCGCCCATTGGATAACCTTGGGCAAGTCATAGTCTCTCAACCTCAGAGGATGGCAATGGCAAACTTCCTCTGAAGAAACTTGCCAAGAGAATCCCATGATAGGTTAGCCTCAGCGTTCCCATAAGTCAAAAATGACTTAGAGGCACAAAACAACAACAAAACATAAGGTGTAGGAGGCACTGTAATTTGTTCTCTGGCAACATTACTTCCTATGGAAGTTTCCAGAAGTGGCACATGACCATTTTTCCAGAAGGGTGCATATGTATGCAAAAATTGTCTTCAGGCAACCTTTTGTCTGAAGGCAATTGCTTCTTTCTTTGTGATTTACAAAACGACAGCAAACGACAGCATGAATATTGGGCCATTCAAAAAGTGTCCTGGGCAGTTTTAGCAACCTATTTTATTACTCTATTTTTTAAAAAACTTTGTCAATACTGATTGCTCAGATTGAGGATATGTGGTCTTCATCATTTCTACAGATGCTTCACAGAACAGAACATGAGAGCTGTAAACAAAAAAATATTCTGTTCTGCTTAAATGTAGAATTTCAGTTGATGCTGGCAACAATTTGCCTGTTAGGACAGAATGTTCTTTGGAGGATTTTCTTTTCTTTCTTCCCAAATTGCAAATGGCTTTACTGAGTGCTCTGAAAGTATGGATAGCTATGTTGTTCATAACTGAAGCATGCATTCAAAACTCTTGTATCCCCCATTTCTGAAATACTCTACCCTAAGCATCTTATTCATAAAAAACAAATGTTGTTGTTGTTGTTGTATGCTTTTAAGTAATTTCTGACTTATGTCAACCCTACCTCAGAATGTTTTCAGATTGGGGTTGCCCTTGCCTTCCTCAGAGGCTGAGAGAGTTGCCCAAGATCATTTTTCCATGGCTGAGTGGGGATTCAAACCCTGGTCTCCCAATGTTGTAGTCCAACACTCAAGCCACTATACCATGTTGGTCTACTGCATATTGAAAACCACTCTGGTATTCTTGCCTCATCCATACAAGCAAAATTCATGACATAGGGACCATTCCCATCCCTATACCTAAAGTAGCAGGGTTATTTGTTGTTGTTGTTGTTGAGTGTCTTCATGTTGTTTCTCACTTATGGCAACCCTAAGGTGAACCTTTCAATGTGGTTTTCTTCACAAGATTTGTTCAGAGGAGGTTGAAATCATGTGATGTGTCCAAGGTTACCCAGTGGGCTTCACAGCTGAGCTAGGAATCGAACCCTGATCTCCAGAGTCATAGCCCAGCACTCAAACCATAGAGCTATAGCTGATAAGAAATCCTGGGATTGGCAGGATTTAGGGAGGGGGATGTGGAATTTTTAGTCAGAGAGTTCCTCTAGTGCAGGGGTAGGCAACCTAAGGCCCAGGGGCTGGATGCGCCCCCCCAGAGGCCTTTGGACCAGTCCCATGCCGGTCCTGCTGCCGCCGCCCGCCATCATGATATTGATTATTGTTATTACTTGTTCTTGGGGTTTTCTTGGCAAAATCTCCACAGGGGCTTTGCCATGGATTTTCTGGGGCTGAGAGAGTGTGCATGCATATTTTTTAATTTCTTTTTAATTTTTAAAATTTATTTATTTATTTATTTATGGTGCTTTGACACACACCCCCCCCCATTGTCTGAGGGACAGCAACCCAGCCCCTGGCTCAAAAAAGTTGCCTACCCCTGCTTTAGTGACATGGTTCCCAAACTTTGATCCTCCAGATGATTTGGATTTTAGCTCCCAGAATTCCTGACTGTGATAATGCTGGCTGGGGCTTCTGGGAATTGAAGTCCAAAAACACGAAGGACCAAAGTTTGGGAATCCCTGCTTCTTGTGCTTCACCAAAGTACAAACCCCATGATTCCACAGGATGTTGCTATGGCAGTTGAAGTGCAATACAGTGCTATATTTGTGCAATGCAAATGGGCCCCTGCCATGAGTTTTGACAGCTAAACAGTGTACCTTCCATCGTCTGACCTTTTTTTCTTTGACCCAATCAGTTTCAGTCCAGCCTTCTGATTTTCTAGACCACACAGTTCCTGTGGAGCATTGGAAAGGGAGGCTTCTTTGCAAGAGGGGTGTCTGGACCTTTCTTAGCATTGGGGTAAAGGCTTTAGGTTTGTTCATTGTTCAAATTCAAGAGGCAGAATAGCTGTGCAGCAAAGAGCCTCTCTTTCTCTCTATTGTAGCTGTGATGCTTCACTGGGAAACTAGATCACAGAGGCACACACGTGAGTGTTGCTCTGCCAAGGCTTGGTAGCGTGGCACTCCTCCTCTTTACACGTGCAGCCTGTAGGGAAGGACAGGCACGTGGCTTTTGCTGAAACCTTGAAAGCCCATCCCTTTTGCATAAGCTGTTGACTAGGAGGATGTGGCTGCTCGCTGCTTCTATAACTCTGAGTGTACAAGCTGAGCAGGAAGCTGATTTGGTTGCTTCGGCTTTACATAAGCTAGCAGCTCGGCTCCGTCTGCCCCTTTTTAACTCTTCCCCTGCTGGCACTGGAAAAGGTTTCAAGGGGTTTGTTTTTGTCCTCTTGTATTCTGGAGGCTATGGAAACCCACTGGGTGATCTTGCAC